TGCTTCGAGTGCGCTTTTTTTTAGGCTAAAGTAATTTAGGGCCTAGCAGGTAGGAACTATTTTAAGGTAGCTATTGCACCAAAACTTAATCAAAAGGCGCGTAAAAAGTGTTTAATAAAAAGAAAGGAATATTAGAAACAAAAAAGCTTGCTAGTTAGAAACTCACGGTCTCCCTAGGTCTCCGCCGGAGACCTCAATCACAAAGAAGGTATAGTTGTCTTGTTCTCATTAGTTTCCAAAGATATCAAATGCACTCCTTGAACTCCTTATTGCGCTCTGTTTCCCCGCGGCAGAGCCGCGTGAGCCATCCTTCTGACCCTCTTTGAAGCAGACTTCTAGACATATTGGTTTTTTGGCTGAGCGAGTAATAAGGTGCTTGTTGAGTAATCCTGACGAAGAAAAAAACGACTCCTTCGACGTTCCAGCTCCCTAAAATTTGTCCTTCGTTTCCTGACTCAGCTTGTTTTTCGGAGATTTCTTGGTAAACTCGTGGTACAATCAAAGAAGCAACGACAAAACAGATCCTCTTGGCTGATGCGCTTATTAGTTGCGGACACTCAAGCGGGATAAATAGGCGGTAGCTTGCACAAATATTTGAAGATGTTCTCATCCATCTTCCATCTACTGCGATTTCCTTGAAAATTTTGTCAGTCCTTAAAATTTATTTTTCTTTTTATCCATTCATGGGAAACGAAACAGCTTCTCGTTGAAGAATTCGGTTTTGGATCAGTTCACCCATTTTTTGGTGCAACAAGTCATTCCATGCGTTTTTTTAAAAACAAAGCTTGATTCACCTCTCTGCTCGCTTTGTCGTATATCTACAGTATTGTCGCAAAGGCGTTTCAAAACTGATGATTCGTTTTGATTCATACTTCTAGAATTTGTGATTAATTTATTTCACATTACCTTAAATCGCTATGTAAGAAGTGAATTGAAGGAGTTTCGGTGCTTGTTTCAGTTATGGAGTTTGAGGTGGAGACGGCAGCTCTGAAAGTGTCCTTCCAATTAGCAGAATCTGTAAATGATCTGCTTGCAATTGCTGATGAAAACTCGGATGTTGTAGTCATTGCTAGGACTGAAAAGGCGAGACTAAAACATTTTTGCATTTCTATATGTCTTTTTATCATTAGCATGTCATATGTAAACAGTGTTTTTGCTTTCTATACTTATATGTTGTCAAATCAAAGCACCATTGATATTGTGCTTATTTAATTATAGGTCTTGCCCTTTATGTATTTTTTATTCAATTAAAAATGTCAAAGAATACTCCTGCTTAGGGCTTGCTGTTCGCTCATCCTAAGGGAAGAGAAAGCAAAAGAGAGGAATTGTCAAGTCCAAGAACGAAAACACCTTTTGCCCAACTTGCTCCAGCAAAGTCTTCATCCAGAATATTAAGCGACGCTGTTGTGCAACCGGCAGCAAAAGCTGAGGCCATACGCTTGTTCGACGGTCCGTGCCATTTCCTTCCACCTGTTTCTCATCTTGCCCCGATATTTATCGCTCAGTGCTTAGCACCTCCACCTTCGGTGTAAATTCCATAATTTGTGGTAATACTAGGCGCATCATCGAACTTTCTGTTTTTTTTTT